AAAATAAATTTTTTAAACTTTATTTTTTCAGTGTTCCAGAGTTCATTGTTTATGTACCACACCCAGTGCTCCATGCAATCCGTGCCCTCCACAATACCCACCACCAGGCTCACCCAACCATCCCCCCCCAAAACCCTCAGTTTGTTCCTCAGAGTCCACAGTCTCTCATGCTTCATCTCCCCCTCCGATTTCCCTCAACTCCGTTCTCCTCTCCATCTCCCCATGTCCTCCGTGTTATTCCTTATGCTCCACAATTAAGTGAAACCGTATGATAATTGACTCTCTCTTGCTTGACTTACTTCACTCAGCATAATCTCCTCCAGTCCCATCCATGTTGATACAAAAGTTGGGGATTCATCCTACTATGGAGTATTATGGAGGCATCATACTCCATAGTATACATGGACCACGTCTTCCTTATCCATTCGTCCGTTGAAGGGCATCTTGGCTCTTTCCACAGTTTGGCGACCGTGGCCATTGCTGCTATGAACCTTGGGGTACAGATGGCCCTTCTTTTCACTACATCTGTATCTTTGGGGTAAATACCCAGTAGTGCAATTGCAGGGTCATAGGGAAGCTCTATTTTTAACTTCTTTTTTTTTTTTTTTAAGGTTTTATTTAATTTTTTGACAGAGAGAGATCACAAGTAGGCAGAGGCAGGCAGAGAGAGAGAGAGGGAAGCAGGCTCCCCGCTGAGCAGAGAGCCTAATCCGGGACTCAATCACAGGACCCTGAGATCATGACCCGAGCCGAAGGCAGTGGCTTAACCCACTGAGCCACCCAGGCACCCCTCTATTTTTAATTTCTTAAGGAATCTCCACCCCGTTTTCCAAAGTGGCTACACCAACTTGCATTCCCACCAACAGTGTAAGAGGGCTCCCCTTTCTCTGCATCCTCTCCAACACACATTGTTTCCTGTCTTGTTAATTTTGGCCATTCTAACTGGTATAAGGTGGGATCTTAGGGTGCTTTTGATTTGAATCTCCCTGATGACTAAAGATGATGAACATTTTTTCATGTGTCTGTTAGCCATAAAATAAATAAATCTTAATTTTTTTTTTTTTGGCTTTGCTCCTGGATAGTGTCTCTGCAGAAAAACTCTTCCCTTTGAAATATTGACATTTTTCTAGTCATGTTTTTTGGGGGGAAAAAAACAAAAAAAGAAAACAGACAATGGTTTCAGTAATGATTTGATTTTACTAAAAAAAAATTTTTTTAGACCGCCTGGATGGCGCAGTTGCTTGAGCATCAGACTCATTGTTTCAGCTCAGGTCGTGATCTGAGGGTTGTGGGGTCGAGCCCTACGTTGGGCTCTGGGCTCAGTGGGCAGTCTGCTTGAGATTCTCTCCCTCTCTCTCTGCCTCTATCCCCAGCTTGTGTGCTCTCTCTCTAAAATAAACCTTTTTCAAAAATGCTTTTTTTCTTCTGGGGTGCCTGGCTGACTCAGACAGTAGAGCCTGCAATTCTTGATATTGGGGCCATGAGTTCAAGCCCCACGTTGGTTGCAGAGATTACTTAAAAAAACTCTTTTTTTTCTTAAACGTTAAACATAGGAACCGTCACTGAAAAATGTTTAATGAAAATGATTTTAAGCAGGGTATATCTGTACTCATTAATATTGTAGGTAGGTTTTTAGCTGGTAAAGTTAATGTGTTTTAAAGATAAGCTGAAGGGGCACCTGGGTAGCTCAGTTGGTGAAGCATCTGCCTTCGGCTCAGGTCATGATCCCAGAGTCCTGGGATCGAGCCCTGCATCGAGCTCTCTGCTCAGCGGGAAGCCTGCTTCTCCCTCTGGCGCTCGCCCTGCTTGTGCTCTCTTGCTCTCGCTCTATCGCAAATAAATAAATAAATAATCTTTATAAAAATAAATAAAATAATAAGCTGAAGATTATGAGAAGGGGGAGTTTCTAGCATGCCCATAAAACAATAAATCAATTTTTAAAAACTGTCACTTAAATTTTGAAAATGAGATCCATGAATAGGTCTCAAGATATCTGTGAACAGGTACAAAATTTTTTGTGTGTGGGAATTATATTGCGGAGAATTTCCACGAGGTTAAGAAACACTGGTGTTAAAAGTAATTAGACACAGAGTAAATAAATATACTTTAATTTCAACATATAACATTTGATAAATGTAGTTGTTAACCCTATTATTGATATATTCTTCTCTCTACTATTTTGTTCTTTAGGAAAATCATCTTACTATAATGAATTTTATTGATAAAGAGTTATTTGAGGTAAAGAGTATGTGATGCTTGTCCTGAATAATTTTTTTTTTTAATCTTAAAATAATCCTGATAGACACATGTCAAAGGCCACATGTCCCTGTGGCTCCATTGCCGAAGATGGGACAGTTTGATCATAAAGGGAATAATAAGGCACCTGAGGGAAACACTTTGAATATGTAGATGCCCACAAGTTACTATTAAAAACATTGATGAGACAATTAGGGAAATCTGAGTATTGACTACGTATTTGATTACATTAGGAAATTATTCACTTTTCTTGATGTGATGATGACAGTGTGGTTAAGAAAAAGGGGTCCTTGGGCGCCTGGGTGGCTCAGTTGGTTAAGTGTCTGCCTTCGGCTGAGGTCACAATCCCAGAGTTCCCGGGGTCGAGTCCCATATCGGGCCCCCTGCTCAGTGGGGCGTCTGCTTCTCCCTCTGCCCTTCACCCTGCTCATGAGAAAGAGAAGGAGTCCTTATCTTTTAGAGATGTGTACTGAAGTATTGAGGAACAAAGTAATACACTGCCAGGGATTTATTACAAAGTGATCCAAGGCTGGGGTTGGTGAGAGTCAGTGAGGATAGGGGTGAAACACTAGTGGCCCATAATGAAGATTCTTGAAGTTGACATAATCGGCTGTCTACTTTTGAATGCATCGGAAAATTTCCATAATAAAAACATGCAAACAATCTCATGAGTTCTTGATACCCAAGAAAAAAGACAAAAATGAAAACTGACAGGGAAAACAATTTTAAAAGTACATTGGTGAACACCAAGATTAATGCATTCTTCCTCCTTCCTCTAGAAATTTAACAATTAAAGGGGGAAAACGAAGCATTTGCCTTGCCTTTTGTGTATGAGCTGAATTTTAGAGAACCCAAGTGGCCATACCTGAGGAGGGAAAGTTTTCTTCTTTACGAAAGCATCCCAGCTACTAAATCTGACAAGAACGTTCACATTAGAAAATCACCACTTGGGGCGCCTGGGTGGCTCAGTGGGTTAAGCCGCTGCCTTCGCCTCAGGTCATGATCCCAGATCCTGGGTTCGAGCCCCACGTCGGGCTTTCTGCTCAGCAGGGAGCCTGCTTCCTCCTCTCTCTCTGCCTGCCTCTCTGCTTACTTGTGATTTCTCTCTGTCAAATAAATAAATAAAATCTTTAAAAAAAAAAAATCACCACTTGTAATCCTTAGTGCAATAAATGATTCCCACAAGGACCATCAGAAGTGGAAGTCTGATGACATAAGAGGGGTTGGGTTTTCCCCTCTGGATCCACGCATCAATCTTAGCATTGCTAAAAAGATAAATTATGATACGCCACCTGCTATGAGGTACTCCGTACTATTACAGGGCATTGCCTTAGAAATACTCCCGCACAGGGGCGCCTGGGTGGCTCAGTGGATTAAAGCCTCTGCCTTCGGCTTGGGTCGTGATCCCAGGGTCCTGGGATCAAGTCCCGCATGGGGCTCCTTGCTCAGCGGGGAGGCTGCTCCCCCCTCTCTCTGCCTGCCTCTCTGCCTACTTGTGATCTCTGTCAAATAAATAAATAAAATCTAAAAAAAAAAAAAAAAAAAAAAGAAATACTCCCTCACAGAGAGTTGACCTGGGCTCTAATGAAGCCTTGAATTGTAACAAGTTTGATGCTGGGACAACTGACCCACTTTGGCAAATCAAAATGATTGAAAAGGAAAAAAAAGGCAAGGGCGCCTGGCTGGTTCAGTCAGTGGAACACGGGACTCTTGATCTTGGGGTTTTGAGTTTGAGCCCCATGTTGGGTGTAGAGATTACTTAAAAATTAAATCTTCAAGGGGCGCCTGGGTGGCTCAGTGGGTTAAGCCTCTGCCTTCAGCTCAGGTCATGATCTCAGGGTCCTGGGATCGAGTCCCCCATCGGGCTCTCTGCTCGGCAAAGAGCCTGCTTCCTCCTCTCTCTCTCTCTGCCTGCCTCTCTGCCTACTTGTGATCTCTCTCTGTCAAATAAATAAATAAAATCTTTAAAAAAAATTAAATCTTCAAAAAGAAAAAAAGGCAGAGGCGGTGCGATAAGGGGAGTAGTTTAGCTTAAGATTTAAGAGACATAGTGGGCATCTTGTGCGGGAAAAGTAAAACTGTAGAATTATTTTTGAAGCATTTAAAAATTCTGTTAAGTATTTGATGACAACAAGGAAAAACTGTTAAATTTTTTAAGATATAATATGGTTATGCAAGGAAATGTCTGGGGTTTCCTTTAAAATACTTTGAAAAAAATAGGTTAAAAGCAAGGAGCTATAAAGCTAATATGACAGAATCTTGATTGATTGTTGAGTCTGATAAGGGATGTGTGGTGATTTCTTCTTTTATTCTACTTCTGCATATTTTGGGGAATTTTATATGATAGAGCGATGTTGATCACCATACCACAGGAAATAAAGTGGGTTGTTTTTAGCAGAAGCTTAAGATGGAAACGTGAGAAACACAGAAAATCTCATTTTGACACACCAGGTTTATGTATTGCTTATTTATTCAACAATAATTAAAATACAGATCCAATAAGAGCAATAGGCAGGTGAGGAAGATTTTTTTTTTTAAATGAAATTTCCTCGATTCAATCAAAGAGCTGGTGAATCAACGAAACAAAAGATACAGAAGGTAAAAGAAAGAGTTGGCCATCTTCTGCCCCAAGCTACCTCTGCCATGGTCTGGAATCTTTGTAAATATTGGATAGGACACTCTGCTAATATTTCTCATAAACCCTTGGCCATCCTGGATTCGCAAAGCCGACAAAACCAGGAATTTCACGTGTCGGAAGTTTGAGGATGCACTTGGGTAGCCGTGGAGAACTTGTGGGACAGGAAAATCACCCCACTCAGCAACATCATGAAGGCGGCCAGACACGCCACCAGAAAGGCACTGCCGATCTCCTGAGTGTTTGGCTTGAAGGGAATCAACAGCGACGGGGGGAAGGAAATGCCCTGCTCGCTCATCACGGAGTGGTAATTCCAGACCACGGTGATGGCGATGCAGATGCCGGAGGCCAGGTTCAGGATTCCCGAAGCGACGAATGGGTTGAAGGTGGCGTTCTCCCGCAGAATTCCCAGGTACGCGTTCCTGAGAGCGAAGATGATGGAGGCTCGCCCCAGGAGGCCTAGGATGCTGGCGATCAGCAGGAGGTTTTGGGAGACACGAATATCAAGCGGGAGATACGGGTCGCGGTAGCTGTACCGTTGACACAGGGTGACTTTGTTGTGGTCGCTGACGTGGTGGTACACGCAGACTTTCCACATGCCCACGCACACCAGGCCCGGGGGCATGAGGGCGTTGTTCTCTATGTACCACACTCTCCATTCCACGAGGCCCATGGACGTGGTGGTCAGGATCCAGCCCACCGTGGCCATCGCAAAGCCGGCCACCTGGCAGTTGGCGCTGTTGATGAGCAGCAGCATGGCCAGTGCGCACCGCAGGGAGCTGTGGACAAACACGGGGTGAGAGGGGGCGAGCGGCCGCCTCGGGCTGGGACGCGCCCCTGCGGGCCGGCACGAGACCGAGGGTGGGGACCCGAGACGTTCGCGCTCTGCGGGTGGGACACAGGGCGGGCCGGCTTTGGGAAGAGCCGGTGGCCCTTGTCATCGGAAGCCCGACAGGGCACCGACTTTCAAACAGGCACTTCCACTTCTGGGCATTCGTCCCCAAATGAGACCGGTCACGAGCAGAAAGTGGTCATCACGGCACTGCGCCTACTGAAAAATGGGACACGTTCAGGCCCAGCGACTGAGCTCGGCTGAACCATGCGTCGGTGCCGAGTCGGTGCCGTGTCCGTGCGACCGGGCTCGTACGTGCCGTGGCTCAGCGCGGCTGGCATCGCGCAAGGGGCCGTGCCCCGTGTTTGGCTGTTTTGCAGCTCCAGCCCCGCAGGGCTGCTCTGCTGCCTCTCCCTGGGGGCCCCAGTCGGCTGCGGGGACGGGCCATCGGCTCGGTGTTTGGACACCGGGACTGGTTGCATGTTTGGGCCGTTAGGAGTAGCGCTGCTCTACGCATTTCCAGGCGGTGTTTCTGTGCGCGCGTGTCCTCGTGTCTCCTGGGTGGATGCCTCAGGCAGGGCGGGGCGCACGGAACAGATGGCAAGTCCACGCTCAACTCTTCAGAAAGCGCTACCTGCTACCCCGCTGCCCGCTACCCCGCCGGCCCCACCACTTTGCGTTCCCACCGGCATCGCGCGAACGTTCCATTTCCCCATCTCTGCTCCCGCAGGTGTTGGTTTCGTTTCTTGGATGACATCCAAAAGGAAGAAGGCCACAATGTACCAAGGACAGGGGGTAAGCCAGAAAATGGGACATCTCGTCGTGGCTCTAAGAACTGGAAGTCTGTATGCTAAGTTAGTAAGAGACATTTTTAACCGGGTTAGAGGGATTATGAGTTTTAAAATACATATATATATATTATTATATTATCTTATAATATTTCAATATATTTATATATAATTATAATACATATTATATAAACAAAGTATAATATATGAATATATATTTTATAGTTATAATATATAGTATATCATAAAATATATATTATAAAATATATATATTTATAGCACACAAATCTAAGTGTACAGCTCAATAAATTATTGATAACCACAAAGACACCTCTTGGTTTAAGATATGTAACATCACCACTTCCTCATCGGTCCTTACGGCTCTTCCACCTCCCAGCACGCTCCCGTAAAGCATCTCAGTTCAATTCTGCCTGTTTCCAAAACAGGATCATGCAGTCGGCATGCTTTCACTTGACCCTGTTTACGACCTTGGATTGTGATTTTTTTAAATGATGTCTGGCTGTTCAAGCCTTTTAAGGCATTTCTGCCATGAGCATGATTTTTTAAAAATAGAAACAATAACTAAGGCTTCATTGACATTATGAAGCAACGGAGGATGAATTCTATCTGATACGTAACTACACTGTAGGAGGTTATTGTTCATTCATTTGCCATAAGACTCAGCAGATTTAACAGTAGGAGAGTATTTCGTCGCAATGCGGGAAAACACCCGTGGTAGGTGAATTTAAAACAGATAATAAAACTCCCAAGTTTGTAGTGTGATCTTATTTTTGCCCACCCTAAATAAGCAAAACAACATGCCTCTATTGGGATTGCTAGTGATTTTTTTTTCACTTTTTAAAAAGATTTACTAATTTGATAGTACAAGCAGAGGGAGCAGCAGAGGGACAGGGAGAAGCAGGCTCCCCACTGAGCAGGGAATCCAACGCGGGACTCAATTCTAAGACCCTGCAATCACGACTGGAGCCGAAGGCAGTCGCTTAACTGAGCCACCCAGGTGGCCCATTGTTTCGTGTTTCAGGGTAAGAGTCTATTACTTTCCCAAATGGGGAAAAACAGGGGCACAGGCCGGGACGCAAGCATAGTGATGAGTATGAGTGGGAGTGGAGGGCCGTGCATGGAGAGCATGGAGGGCTCCGGACCTCCCGTGGGGGCCTCCCACACTGGCATGTATTTATTTACCATTCACGCGTGGTTTGCGTGTGAGCAAGAGGTGTGTATCCGCGAGGAAAGCCGTTAGGAATATCTCGCTCAGTGAAAATGCATGTTGCAGAAGCAAGTGTATAGAAATGGCTCGGTTGGGGCGCCTGGGGGATGTGGTCGGTTATGTCTGACTCTTGGTTTTGGCTGGGGTCGTGATCTCAGGGTCGTGAGATCCAGCCCCGCGTCAGACTCTGTGCTCAGCGCGGAGTCTGCTTGGAATCTCTCTCTCTCTCCCTCTGCCCCTGCTCTCCCCTCTCCGCCTCACCCTCCCGTGCTCACTCTCTCTAAATCAATGGCTCCATGTCAGTGAAAACTAGGGCGAACATCTAACACGTTTAAATATGTATAAACACAATATATACAAATAGGAAACATGCTTGCATATGAAGAGAGAATTCCTGGGTGCGGGAAATGTTTAAGAGTTGTGACCTCTGGGAAGGAGCACTGGGTAAGGGCCCTGGAGGTACAGCCTTCCCTCGGTGCCCAGGATCCTCTCTGCCACGGTCTCAATTTTCTGCCAGAAACACGTAATGCTCTTAAAAGGTAAATGATTAGGTAGTTAACCGAGAAGCAGGACAGAGGCAGGTCGCAACACCGCGGAGGGAGGTGAGTGTTGCTGGGCCCCGGGCTGAGCTGGACCTGGAGGGAGGAGGGAGAGGGAGGGGAGGGCATGGGAGGACTTCGTGGGGAGCAGCCCGGCCTCCCGAAGCACTTCCAAGCCCCGGGCTCTGTGCCACGTCGGCAGTTCCTAATCTTCTTGGTCTCAGGACCAAAAAGGTCTCTGCACTTTGTACTTGGAAGCAGGAGAGGCAGGCAGTTACTGGGTCAAACGTTCTGGAGACCTGTACCCTTAAAAATGGTTAAAATGGGGGCGCCTGGGTGGCTCAGTGGGTTAAGCCACTGCCTTCAGCTCAGGTCATGATCTCAGGGTCCTGGGATCGAGCCCCGCATCGGGCTCTCTGCTTGACAGGGAGCCTGCTTCCCTCTCTCTCTCTCTGCCTGCCTCTCTGCCTACTTGTGATCTCTGTCTGTCAAATAAATAAATAAAATCTTAAAAAATAAATAAAATAGGCTCAAAGATACCATTTAAATTGATTGGTTGTAATACAAATCACTGTGTTTAAAAAAAAAAAGAAAAATGGTTAAAATGATCAATAATGTGATATATATTTTCCTGCGATAAGAAACAAACAAAAAAAAGGTATTGACCCCAAAGAGTTTTTGTTCCCACAGTTTGCATTCACCCATACTTACTGTATTAGGAATTAAAATGGAGAAATATAAGATTGCTTATTAATTTATGTAATAAATATTACATATTAACAAAGATTTTTATGAAAAGAGACTATATTTTCCAAACAAACAGAACTTAGAGGATATCGCTTACAGCAATCTACAAGTTGTGTGTAAATGATACACTAAATCCTATAGACGGAGGGAAAGAGGCATACATCAGCAGAAGCGTGGCTCAGGATAGAGATGGGGACAACCGAAACCACCACCTACTGTAGGAGGGACAAAGGAATTGTGGGGTTATCCGTACGATGGAACACTACCCACCTTGCACAAACGGTTACGATAGCATTTGTGGTGCTTGTCGTAAGTACTCAGTGGCACACGCCCTCCAGCTGGGCAGAAAACAGTGTCTCACTTACTCATAATTCACTTAGCAGGAGGCCGGGACCCAGGCGGCGTGGGGACTTGGTTGAGTGCGCCAGATGGGTCCCCGGAGGCCTCCTCCAGAAAACTCCTGCTCAAACCTGAGCTCATCTGTAGGATGGAGACCCAGCCCAGTGCTGATGGCCTGTTGAGTCAGAAACTCCTAACAGAACCCCTAGGCTCTCTGTAACCCTGCCAGGAGGCCAAGAGGAACATGATCACATTCTTGCTCTCATGTAAATGTTACAAAGCTCCATGACCTAATGGGAAAAGTGGACACACTGACCCGTTTGTCTTTGGCTCCGGGGGAGATTTGCTTCTCGCCATCAGTCTGGGGTTACTTACCTTCTGCGGATGCTTGCTATCCCCTCTGCCATCAGGCAGCCAATGCCTTCTCTCCTAACAGGCCACTTCCAACCCACCATCGGATGAGACCACTGGGACTTTGAAGGATGTTGTCACAACAGTCTGGATCTCATCTCATCAAAGTCCTCTGGCCCCACTTATGAACCACTGACAAACCTACATCAGCACTTATCCAACATTCTAAAACCTTGGGAGAGAATTCTGGAATAATGGGGCCATTGTGACATGGGAGCTGAGTGGAAAGGACAGCCATTTTAGGGTTCGTCTACCGTTTGCTAAAAGGAAGGAGGACTCCCTAAGAGAATCATAAAGGCAATGCCGTACTCCTTAGGAGTTCCTCCTTACTTCCTGCTCCACCCCACCCCCACCCCTGGTTCTTACAGATCTGCCTGTTCTGGGTAGCTCCCATAAACAGAGTCCAACCATATGCGGCCTGTGTGTCTGGCTTCTTCTGAACATCATGTTTTGGGGGCTCATCTATAGATGTGTGGGGACTCTGTTCCTTTTCATGGCCCAGTAATATTCCACTGTACAGCTACACTACCGTTTACTTAGCAGAAGGTGGGTACTCGTGTGGTTTTCCTTTTTGGGTTGTTATGAGGATGCTGCTGTGAACGGTAATGTCTAAGTGTGTGTATGGATATGGTTTCATTTCTCTTGGGTATGTACCTAGGAGCAGAACTGCTGGGTCACAGGGTAACTCTATGTCTACATTTTGGGGGACCACCAAATTGTTTCCCTACATGGCCGCACCATTTGCTAATCCCACCAGCAAGGTAGGAGGACTCTACTTTCCCCGCCTCCTTGTAAGGCTTGCTGTGGCTCGCCTATCTGGGTTTGACGACTGTGTATATGGAATCACCATGGGCGCTCCGTGTAAAAGACCCTTAGGGATAAGAG